CACACACACACACACACACACACACACACACACACACACAAAAGCAGCATTTAGACTTATAGGGCCCAGGTTTTGGGCCCTATAAGAAGCAGTGGGTACACTCACACACAGAACCAGAGTATCATGATTACATTAACTTCCTCTGCATACTGAACATGTTTCCTTGTGTTTTCTGTGTTCCTGCAGCATGTCAAAGCAGTCTTCTTCCCAACACTGACATCCCTGGAAGTGATCTCATCAAGCTGAAGGCCGTCTCTCCTGAACACTGCCAGGTCCTGTGTTCTGCTCACCCACAATGCACCTACTTCTCGTTTGTCAGGTACTGTGGATTTGACACTGAGTGGGACCATTTGACCATGTTTACATTTTTATTTCAAGTGTCTTCTCTACTTGAGCTTTCCTTGTCCAATGAGTCGGACTTGTTTCTGCAGCGATGACTTCAGCTGTTATCTGAAGAACAATGGAAATGAAATGGTGACCACAGCAAAGAATGGAGTCATATCGGGGATGCCGACCCGATCCTGTCAGGTTGATGAAAGTGCGTACCAGAGACGTTCAGACCTGCCTGACATATTTCTGTGTAAAAGTTTTGGTCAAGTGAGCAGTACGGTTCCCATAGGGGGCTAATGCCAGTCATTTGTTTAGTTTCTTTAAAATGTATTGAAAAAATTTAACATTTTTATAACAAAACCAAAAATTATTTAGCATATATTCAGTTTCTAAAGTCTTATAGCAAAGTCTAACATTACTGCAACATATTCAGATAAATTTAACCACATCCTCCTGTAATTACAGACTGGATCAAGCTGACTTATGAAGAGATCGATTTTAAAGGCTTCGACATACGATCAGAGGTGCTGGACGACGCGGCTGCCTGTCAGAGGTTGTGCACCGAGACCCCCGCCTGTCAGTTCTACACTTACATCAATGAGAACTCCTCGGACCAAGCTGCTCGGTACGGTGCTCCTTAAACACAGATCCTGAGAATGATTTCAGAACAGTGAGCAAGATGTTTACAGAAGAAAAAAATGTTTTTTGTGTTGTAGGCGTCGCTGCTTCCTGAAGAGTGTCATCACCATCCCTGCTCCTCCAGCAGTGACTAAACTGGACAACGTTGTGTCCGGCTTTACCTTGAGAAACTGTTTAACTTGAGCCTGATCACAACTTACTGGTTTTTGTGTTCAAACATGAGGAATAAAGCCGCCTTAAACATTTTTGAGTGGTTTAACTTGGATTTTTAATGCCACTGTTGGTCATTGAACTGTGGGGACTTTGGTCTAGTTGGCAATACTGAAGTCATTTAAAGGTTTATTTAAAAAACAGTTTAGAGACAATCTAAAGTCCTCCTGCAACATGTGGGATCTGAATATTTACTGGATGCTCTTTACCTTTCAGTGCCGCCAATTTTTTTTCTTCAGAATTCTTGTTTGCCTTGAGAAAAGCTGCCAACCTGTTTTCAGAAATTCAAAAATTTTTTTTCATTTTGCATTTTAACCATGTGACCGTGTGATCTACTTTAGCAGAACCGGCTACAACCACACCAGGCAAGAGTTTGTCAGTTTAGGATTCCCTTACATTCCTTCACATGTTGACAAAGTAGAAAACAATATGGGCTGTTTATGTAAAAACTATTAATGACAATATTAACTAAAAATTTGTTAAAATATTACATCGTGTAAGCTATCTAATGTTTTTCAACAAAAAGAAACAGGAAAATGTCTCATTTCACAAGTGAACAGATTTTATTTATTTATTATTTATGATTTTATTTATCTCAAAATGATTGTGATCTGACCAGAACTGAAGCTGATAATTTACCAGTTTAAAATTAAAATAAGCTTCTAAAGCTAATGTAATCAATGTTAATTATTGAATTGATTAACACATATTAGCTCCTGCAGCATTTGTTGCTACACAGCAGAGCTATTCAACTGGTGGCCCGCAGGCCAAACATGACTTTCGTCCAGCCCACCGATGAGGCCGCACACTACAATCCCCCAAAAAATGTTTTTACATTTTTTTTGAAAATTTATTCACTTAATATAAAATAAAGGGGTTAGACAATGAAACTGAAACACCTGGTTTTAGACCATAACATCCCTTTCAGACAGCTTCCTCTTGCACAGTTAATCCTGTTGGAAGTTGTTGGTCCTTCTTGGTGGTATGCTGACATTACCCTGGATACCATGGCTCTTGATACATCACAAAGACTTGCTGTCTTGGTCAMAGATGHDCCAGCAAGACGTGCACCAACAATTTGTCCTCTTTTGAACTCTGGTATGTCACCCATAATGTTGTGTGCATTGCAATATTTTAAGTCAAACCATGCTCTTACTCTGCTAATTGAACCTTCACACTCTGCTCTTACTGGTGCAATGTGCAACTAATGAAGATTGGTCACCAGCCTGGTCCAGTTTAGTCATGAAACCTCCCACACTAAAATGACAGGTGTTTCAGTTTCATTGTCTAACCCCTGTAGATAGTAAATCAATTGTAAAATTTAAATTCATGATTGAACACAAACAAAAAAGAAAATAAAAATAACAATTCTAATTTAAAAGATAAAGATATCTTTTACATAATACAATCCTTTCCTGACCATTATCAGGCAACGCTGTCCAAAGCCAATGGCTTTGAGAAACTGTTGTACAGAGTGTAGCATTCTAATGAGTCACGCTACAATTTAGCACAAATGATTAAATATCATAGGCTGGTTTTGCTTAAGTAATATTTACACAGTGTAAAATGAAATTGCTATTTTTAGGTTTCTATTACACACACTTTACCTGTTGAGAAAATGGTTAGCCAATATCGGTAGAGACAAGTTTTTTCCTCAAGTATCCCGACTACATAATAATAAATAATAATAAGTATACATTATTAGTTGAAGTCAGAATTTTTCAACCAGCTTGAAAGTTTAAGTGATTGACTGACTTCAGGTCTGGTATAGATCACCGTTACTAATAAATTATATATATATATATATATTTAAAAATATTTTACGTGATTGTTGAATATAATAAAACCAATAATTATATTAATTTATTGTATTATTGTATTTTATTGTTAGGGTGTCCCCTGTCTCTTACACAGTGACTGCTGGAGATAGGTTAGAAGTAGGTTAAAAAAACAGATGAAAGTTTGAGGTGATCTTATCAGTTTATTCATCGACAGGCTGATTGGATCTATATTCTTAGAGCTTCACTTAGAGTTTATCAGTGAGAAACAACAGTGCAGGTGTGATGAGAGACTTTGTTAGAGGAGATTGTTTATCTCTCTGAGGAAGAGTTTTGTTTTTAATTTCCTTCAGTTTTTTTGTCCACCTGGGCTCTGATGAAGAAACTGTTTTGTGAACTGTTGGACTGTTTGAACATTGCACAATCAAATTTAGCAAAGGGGCCTAAAATGTTGCCTAACCGYCCTTTACCCAACATATATTTGTAGAAGCAGTTCTTTGGCCAAAGCCGTCCTCAGTCTTCTGGTCTGTGTGGGTCGACAGCAGCTGAAGATGGTCGCTTTCTTTGTTGTGGCGTTTCTGCTGTCGTTGAGCAGCTCTTCCTTCAGTCAAGGTATTTCACTAAACTGCAGAGTTTTAATAACTGAATATTTTTTTTTAAACGTCTTTATTTTTTTTTCTCTTCAGAATGCAGACCAGGGTTTCTGGAGAACATGGATTTTCCTGGATCAGATCTGACGTTTCTGTTCTCTCCTTCTGCTGAGCACTGTCAGAAGCTGTGCACCCAGCACCCCTCGTGCCTCTTCTTCACCTTCACACGGTCCGACTGGACCAGAGACAACACGTGAGACCAACATTTCACTATATTCTGAGCAGAAAGTATTTTGCTTAAAAGTACTTGGTACTGATTTTTACTAAACTGTATTTATTAAAAGTAATTTTGCAGAACTTGATTATACATTTGTTGCATTTTATTGTCCCATTTTAGTGTTATTCCAGACCAGTGCTTTTGTCTTTTAGTTCAACACAATAAATGCTGGTTTAAGTTGGGGGGACAAAAAACAGAAAATGCTTTTCTCTTCTTTCAGCTTTTTTCGCTGCTACCTGAAATCCACTTCATCTGGAGAGCCAGCCTCACAAACTCCTCTTCAGGGCGCCACTTCTGGATTCTCTCTCAAAGCCTGCAGTCAAGACTTACGTAGGATCACTGTTTTCTCAAAACTATGACTCAGCTGTTTATTTAAACACATAAATTACTTGTTTAGTTTAGCTTCTGCTGGCTTTGCCATGACATACTGGTGATTGTGTTTGTTTACTTTGCTGTATTTTTGTCTCCTGTGTGTCAGAACCGTGTTTTTCGGAGACTTTTGAGAATGTGGACTTCCCAGGGGCCGACTACAGAGCCCTGTTTACACCGGACTATGAGGAGTGTCAGAGAGCCTGCACCCAGGACCCTGGCTGCCAGTTCTTCACCTTTTTAAAAGAGGGTTTTTCAGCAACAAGTTACAGGTAAATTACCCAAAGCCATGATGTGACTGGAGGAGGTCACAGCAGCAGTTGAGAGAAAAGTTTATGATGAGCAGTTTATGAGGATGTTGTGAAAGGTAAAGGGAATGAATGACAACTGAACAGATTGTGCCATCCCTTAAAAGAAGTACCTCCAGTACTCATTAAGTATATTAAAGTATAATCAAATGTCCCCATTTATCAAGTAAGTTGATATACTAAATACACCAGCAGTTTACTAAATGTACATGAAAGTTTACTTGTGTAAGCACATGTGTAAACTCAAGGCCTGCAGGCCAAATGTTGTCCGCCACAGCATTTTGACATGGTCTGCGAGAGCATCAAAGAATACCACCAGTAGTACAATAGTTCATGGTCACCAGCAGTGACCATAAACTATATCTCCTGTAATGCATGTAGATTATTTTAACCCATGAAGCCACGATTTATGCTAGGGTTACAATCTTAAAGTGCCCGCATAAAAGGCAAGTCCTGGATGCGGTCCAGAAAAGGCCAACAGTGCATTTGTGTGGCATCTTAATGCAGTAAAAACCAAACAAAAACACAAAAAAATTAAACAGGCAGTTACATACTATTTTTTAGTAAGTAAGTAAGTAAGTAAGTAAGTAAGTAAGTAAGTAAGTAAGTAAGTAAGTAAGTAAGTAAGTAAGTAAGTAAGTAAGTAAGTAAG